CATGCCCCTGACTGGGGATTGAGCCCAAAACCTGGGCACGTGCCATTGACTGGGAATCAAACCAGCAACCTCCTGGTGCATGGAATGATGCCCAACCAACTAAGCCGTACCAGCCAGAGTGAAAATTTATTTTTTTAATTTTTATTTATTTATTTTTTTATCCTCACCCGAGGACATTTTTCCATTTTTTGTTCAGGTAGAGCGGGAGGGAGAGAGAGGAAGAGAGAGAGAGAGAAACATCGATGTGAAGGGACACATCGAGTGGCTGCCACCCGCACGACCTACCAGGGCCAGGGACAAACTGCAACCGAGGTACGTGCCCTTAGAGGGAACCGAACCTGGGTCTCTCTGTACCGCAGGCCGACGCTCTAACCGCTGAGCCAAACCGGCCAGGGCGAAAATTTATTTTTTAATAGAGAGTTCAGTGATGCAGAGCCAATTCCAGAAACTGTGTCAGTATGTAGCCATTTGGTTTAGCCCAGTTTAAATTCAGTTTGGCATGAGAATGGTGAGTTAGCTCAGCTTCCCAGAAGCCTCCAGGCTCTATTTTAGTATGTTATCTTTAATAATACTAACTCCCATTTTGTGGGTTTTCTTTCACATTTCCTTATTTTGATCAAGGTCTTTCCTTAGAAAGCGTCAGTTGTCAACCATTAGAAAATAGTGTTTGTCCATCTTGAAAAAGTAATGTTGCTTCCCTCATCCCTGGAAGGCTCATAGTGGTATGTCATGTCCCACGTAGGAGGGAAAGTAATCTCCTGAATGTACAGTAAGAGAGCTTATGGCCACGTTTGACCAAAAAGGCTAGTCAGAAGCAGAGCTAAGTCACATAGTCCCGGAATCAAAAGTTCTTTTGTAGAGTGGTCTCAGTCGGATTTATTCATTGTAACATCTTGAGATGTTGGGCTACCATTTCTACAGTAAATCAGGTCTCCTTTCAGTAGTGCAGGTTCATACGTTCCTTGGTTTCATCTTATGGGTCTGCCAGTAATAAATTCAAAAGGAGACAGTCTGTTTTTGGCGAAGTGAGTAAATTTTAGGTTGCGCCTTAGGGCAAGGCAGATTAAAAGACTCTATAGAGTCTGTGGGTTTTGTCAATTGAGTTTTGATTACCCGGTTAGTCCGTTCTACAAGACCAGAGGACTGGGGATGATAAACACAGTGGAAATGTTAAATCAGTCAGATCTTACAAACAGATTGTGTCATTTGTCTTGTGAAGTGGAGCTCAGTGGGGATTCTCTAAGTTGGAAAGCTCTTATCTAAGAGTATTTTACTTACTGCTGAGGCTCTGGCCCTGCCGCACAGGAATGCTTGCATTCAGTGAGAAAACTCAAAGTCATTACTAACACATTTGTATCCTTAAGAAGGGGGCCGCTGAAAAAGTCCATTTATCACACCTCAGAGGGTCCCAAAGGCAAGATCAAATGCCCCGTATAGGTATGGATGAGCTTTCCAGGGTTGTACTTGGGGCAAATTTGGCATTAATAGTATACTGGGGAAGCTGTCTTTGGAGATGGCTTCCAGTAGTAGTATTTTCCCCATAAAACCATTTTGTAAGTGTTGGAATGAGTAAGTCGTATACATATTGTAATATTTGATGTTGTATTCAATCAGGGAGGAGTGGTCAGGCATTTTTGTTCTGCTGATAAGTTTCTTTGAGGGTCAAATTTATAGCCTTGCCCTGGCCATTTCTTTCTATTTTGTCAAACAGCTGAATACTGTGCTTCCATAAAGTTTTTTTTTTTAATCTCCGGTTACTTCAGCTGGTAGCATAGGTGCTACTTTAGCAGCAGTAGCGGCCGTAGCACCAGCAGCAAATGATTACCTCTACTTTCTCAATGGTTGCCATTGAATGTCCAGGGATTTTTTTTTTTTTTTTATCCTCACCCGAGGACATTTTTGCATTTATCTTCAGATAGAATGGGAGGGAGGAAGAGAGAGAGAGACATGGACATGAGAGAAACATATCGACTGGTTGCCACCCACATGACCCCAACAGGGGCCAGGGACAAACCGAAACTGGAGGTACGTGCCCTTTGCGGGAACTGAACCTAGGACACTCTGGTCCGTGGGCCGACGCTCTAATCGCTGAACCAAACTGGCCAGGGCTGTCCAGGGATTTTTATGATTGCTAAAGATTTAGGTAATTGGATAGCGAGTTCTAAAACAAAAGAACTGTTTTTTATCTTTTATCTGGAAGAAGTCAGGAATCTTCTCTGTTTCCAGCATACCAAAGTCATGGGCAACACCAAAGACAAACTTGCTGTCAATATAAATGTTAGCTATCTTTGGCCAAATTGCAAGCTCAAATTAATGCATAGAGTAGAAGTTGCCTGAGGCATTGGACTGGCTTCAGTGGTTTTATTTAGACAGATGATGGCATAGCCTGCTTGATAATGGCCTATTTCATCTTTTAGGTGAAAACCATCAGTAAACCAAACTAATTCAGCATTTTCAAGAGATGTTTTCTATAAATCAATTCAAGCTGTAAATCAATTCAAGGAGTTGGAGGAGAGTAGCAGGGTTCAGGTATTATAGTGAGCAATAGTCACATTAGATGAAGACAAAGAATTTCACAGGAGATTAATCTGCTAGCAGATGGGTTCCATGAGGCACACAAGAGGCAGTGGAGAGCGCATTATTATCTTTCCTACATGTTGAAGTAAATTGGCAGTGGCAACAATAGCTCTCATATAAAGTAGGAGAGCTTTGGTCACCAAATCTAATTGTTGGATATAGTATCCATCCAGTGGGTCCATGTTGGTTTCTATATCATTGGGTCAAGACACCTAATTCTTTTCCCTCTCTTTTATGGATGAAAAGGAAAAAGGGCAATTGATAATTAGACATCTTTCTCAATGAGCCCATGGATCAGCTAATAGAGGTCAGAGAACCCTGGCTTATGTTTGCATATGAACAGAAATACGCTAGCAAACCCAATAATGGGGTCCTCTTTGGGATTAGGGAAATCTTTCATAATGGCACAGAGCTCAATTTTAGTCCATGGGAGTATTAGAAATAAAGGGTTGTCATCCTGGGCCTAGACCTATCTTATGGTTTAACTTTATTTATTTACTTTTTATTTATTGATTTTTTTAGAGCGAGAGAAAGGGAAAGGGAGAGAGAGAGAGAAAGAGAAACATCGATTGGCTGCCTTGTACATGCCCCCACTGAGGATTGGGCCCACAACCTGTGGCATGTGCCCTGACTGGGAATCGAACTGGTGAACTCTTGGTGCATGGGTCAACACTTGACCATTGAGCCACACCGGCCTGGCCTGGCGTGATAGTTTACCTTTAAATGAGGTGGTAAGCGCAGGAGGATTTAATAGAGCCTTGGGTTCATTATTATGAAAAAGGAAGTCATTCAATGAAGGATAAAAGGGGAGGACAAGCAAGGAGCTGAAAATGCAGATAATGAGACTTTATAAGAACATTTAGAAGTTTCTTCAAGTTTAGTAAGCCTCTGAGACAACTCAGTTTGCTTTGGTTAATTTAGAATTTGTATCTTGGAGGGAAACAGTTTTTGAATTGCTTACATGTTTGGAGTCTTCAAAATGCCAATTAAAATATGCTTCTATTCAGTTTGCTTAGTTTTATAGTCTTTTTCCAATTGACTGTGCAGATAGACTAGCTTGGGGATTTCAAAAGAGCCCTAGGTTGGCCAGTTTAATTATAAATCATCCTGAGTAATTATGGTCCATGAGATAGAAAGTTCCAGGATGAGGGCCCATAATTTTGTACACAAATCATCAGAAATTCCAGGTGACTGTTTAGCAACTATTCCCTTATAAAATGAACTTCCCTTTCTGAAGAACTAAGTTGCTTTGCATACAACTTACAATAAAATACCTTTCTGTGAAAAATAAATAAAAATTAAAAATACAAACATAAAATGAACTTTTCGTTTTCAAAATGGTAATTACTCACCAGACGGGCAATTTTTAAGTCCTGTAATCAAAAGGCTGGCAGCAGAGGACACAAGTACAGCCTGAACCTCAGTCAAGGTAGGAGGTTCAGGTATAGGAGGATTTACTGCAGTGATCCAGGACCACTAGGAAGGCAATAAAGTGCAGTGAGTTTAGATGCTTGACTCAACTGCCTGAGGAGGAAGCAATCACTCTGGGTCCCACTTCTCTGACACCATTTAATGTCAGTCAGTTTGACCAAGAACTGCAAGGCAAACAAACTGGATTTGGGGGTCTTTTTAAGGAATTGCAGTCCTGGAGACACAGGTTGGGATAGAAACTCTTACTGTATTCTGAGTGGGAAAGAAAGGGGCAGAGTTTATAAAGACAAGGGGGGCTTCCAAAGGGATAACACAATTTGCTTTGAAAGAGCTGTGATTGGTGCTGGCGAGCTGACTTTCACTATGCTATACATGATTAATTGCTTATGTCTATTGCTAGGTGAAAATTTTATTTTATTATTATTATTTTTTATCCTCACCCGAGGACTTTTTTCCATTTTTGTTCAGTTAGAGTGAGAGGAAGAGAGAGAGAGAGAGAAACATCGACATGAAAGGGACACATCCAGTGGCTGCTTCCCGCACGACCCCAACCAGGGCTGGGGACAAACTGCAACCAAATTACATGCCCTTAGCGGGAACCAAACCCGAGTCTCTCTGAACCGTGGGCTGATGCTCTCACCGCTGAGCCAAACTGGCCAGGGTGAAATTTTTATTTTTTTAATGGAGAGTTCAGTGATACAGAGCCAATTCTAGGAATTGTATCAGGATATAGCTGTTAGGTTTAACCCAGTTCAAAAGTTGTTTCAGCCCGGCTGGTGTGGCTCAGTGGTTGAGCATTGACCCATGCACCAAGAGGCTGCCTGTTTGATTCCCAGTCAGGGCACATGCCCAGCTTGTGGGCCCGATCCCCAGTGGGGGACATGCAGGAGGCGGCCAATCCATGTTTCTCTCTCATCAGTGTTTCTATCTCTCTCTCCCTTTCCTTCCTCTTTCTAACATCAATAAAGTGTGTGTGTTGGAGGCGAGTTGTCATACTTACCTGACAGGGGAAATACCATGATCACGAAGGCAGTTTTCCCAGGGCGAGGCTTACACATTGCACTCTGGATGTGCTGACCCCTGTGATTTTGCCAAATGTGGGAAACGCAACTGCACAATTTTGTAGTGGGGGATTGTGTTTGTGTTCTCCCCTGGGGGAAAAAAAGTAGTTTCACATGGACGGAGGTGAGTTAGCTCAGCTTCCCAGAGATCTCCCATTGATCTCTTGACGATATCAGCTCCATTTTATTATTTTTCTTTCACAGTTATTACAGAAAAAAATTAAGTGTTACTCTAAGTGTGCTGTGGGACTAAGTACGGTTTAAAGCCAGAGAGAGGTACATACAAAATAGAATGAGAGGCCTGGGCCAGCTTGGATCAGTAGTTGGAGTATCGGCCAGCGGACCAGAGAGTCCCGGGTTTGGTTCCTGCTAGGAGCACGTACCAAAAAAACAAAAAACAAAACAAAAAAACCCAAAATAGAATGAGAGAACAGATGTACAGATTGGGAAGGTACCAGTAGGATTTTTAGAATCCTGCTGTTCTCTTGGTCTCTGGTGTTTTGGTCTTTTTTAAAAAATTTTTTTATCCTCACCCGAGGATATTTTTTGATATTTTGTTCAGATAGAGTGGGAGGGAGAGAGAGAGAGAGAAACATCGATGTGAAAGGGACACATCGAGTGGTTGCCACTCACACGACCCAATCAGGGCCGGGGACAAACTGCAACCGAGATACGTGCCCTTAGCATGAACAGAACCTAGGTCTCTCCAGACCGCAGGCCCGTACTCTAACTGCTGAGCCAAACCAGCCAGAGCTGGTGTTTTGGTCTTATTGAAATGGCCACAAAGAACTTCTGGAAGTATATGGGGGATAAGTAAATACTATGGGAACAAGATACTGTACTGGAAAAAATGTCCTACGTTTCTCTAAAAATTTTTTAATGTGTAATATAATGTTGCTCTTATTTATAGGCATTTTTTCAAAATAATTTTTTATTGAGAAAAACCCTTAGAATTTTGAGTGATGAGTGATGTACACACATTATAGTTTGAAAGGGCCATCTGACACAGGAGAAAATTGAGGCCCACAGAGATGAAGTGATTTAGCTATGGTCACTCATGGTGTTAGTGAGTGGGATCAAGATCTATCCCTTTTAGGTGCTCATTCCACAGCCTATCACTATCTCACACTTAACCCTAGAAACTGAATTTTGAACATTAGGTGTATTGAAAGGTCTACTAGTCATGTCTGAAAGTCTTGGCTATCAGTAAAAGCTGCACTCTGTTTTTGTTGGTAAATACTGCTGTCACAGGCTGGTGTGAGGAAACAAGCTGCCTTTTTTTTTTTTATATATTGAACGGTAGGTGTTAAATCATTGCAGCCTCTTTGAAGAGCAGTCTAGTATCTTTCTACTGAGCAAAAGTCATGTTTATTTACTGTCTATAATAATAAAAATAATGTCTTGCCCTGGCCGGTTCGGCTCAGCGGTTAGAGCGTCGACCTGCAGTCTGGAGAGACCCGGGTTTGGTTCCCGCTAAGGGCGTGTACCTCAGTTGCAGTTTGTCCCCGGCCCTGGTTGGGTTGTGCTGGAGGCAGCCACTCGATGTGTCCCTTTCATGTCGATGTTTCTTTCTCTCTCTCCCTCCCACTCCATCTGAACAAAAAATGGAAAAAATGTCCTCGGGTGAGGATAAAAATAAATAAATAAATAAATAAAATAATGTCTTTACTCAGAGGTTTGGCAGACTTACTGACCATGAAAAGATTTGGGTTCCCTGTATTCACGGTTCCTCATCTGTACCACAACCCGCTGCATGTACAGGCATCCCCTGCCCTCGTGGTGCCCCACGTGATTGGGGCTGATAATCTGTCTACTGTTATTGCTGTGACTACTGAAGTCTTTTGTCTCTGACTCAGGAGTCTTAACTTATGTCTTCTGGCAACATTTATGAAACTATGGTAGGCTAACGTGTTAGCTTGCCGGTAGGTAATATCTTAGATCTTTCTTTTTTTAAATCCTCACCCGAGGACTTTTTTTTATTTTATATTTTGTTCAGATAGAGTGGGAGGGAGGGAGGGAGAGAGAGAGAGAGAGAGAGAAAAAGAGAAACATCGACTGGAAAGGGACACATCAAGTGGTTGCCACCCACACAACCCAACCAGGGCCAGGGACAAACTGCAACCGAGGTATGTGCCCTTAGCGGGAACCGAACCTGGATCTCTCCAGACCACAGGCCAACGCGGTAACGGCTGAGCCAAACTGGCCAGGGCTCAGATCTTTCATAGTTTTTGACAGAATATCTACTGGAAAAAAATACAGTAATTATTTTTTAAAATAGAAGAAGATGAAGCAGAAAGAGCAGGACCTGTGATTGCTCACATTCTGCTTGGACAATGAGGCTGTCATCCTCAAGAAGTTTGGTGGGGAAGACATTGACACCATCTCTCCAACACTGGGCTTCAACATCAAGACCCTGGAACACCAAAGATTTAAGCTGAACAGCTGGGATGTGGTTTCCAGAAGTCCCTCCGGTCCTACTTGTGGAACTACTTTGAGAGTAATGACAACCTCATCTGCATGGTGGACAGCAGCAACTACCAGTGCAGGCCCAACTGCCAGCAAGAACTACAGATCCTGTTGGTGGAGGAGTGCCTGGCAGGAGCTGCCCTCTACATCTTTGCCAACAAGCAGGACCTGTCTGGAGCACTTTCGTCTAATACCATCTGTGAGGCCACTGTTGTATCCAGGGCTGCAGTGCCAGGGAAAAGCTGATGTCTGGCATCCCCTGCTTCTGGATAGTATTTCTAGCGGTGTCTTCGTGGCTGACTGAGATGCACCAGATGCCCCTACCTGAAAGTCTGCCTCCTCCATCCCCTTACTCCCAGTGCCCTCACCAAGCACCATCCATGGGAAAATGGGTATTAACCTGCTCAACTAACACTCCTTGTTTCCATCTATGAACTGCTGCTGCTGCCCACTGTTACTCTATGGTGCTGGTTCTCATGGTGGGAGGGCTGCTGCCCTGGCTGTGACCCTGACTCCTGACCTGGCCCACCTGCAGCTGCCATACCAAGAGGCGAGGGCTAGAGCTGGGAAGGGACTGCCTCAGCTGCTCTCAAGGCTGTGGGACTCCTTTGCTCAACTGTGAGAGTAAATCATCCCTTTCCCTTTAGAAAGATAAAAGAAAGACAAGTGGAAGCCTCAGGGCTTTTTAGGTCCCATCATTCTGACTTGAAAATTTCAGGCTAACAATATAAGACAGATCTAGAAAACTGATTTAGAAAATGAGTCCTTTGCTTGCAGAGGAATTGACTTGTTGGAGTGGGAGAGAACCAATATTTGTTGAGCATTTATCATGTTTAAGTGTATGTGGGTTGAAATATGTTCTCTTTTTTTTTTTTTCTCTATAAATTTGCAATATAGATGTTCTTATCTCCATTTACAGATGAGGAAACTTAAGACCAGCTGTGTTACTTGCCTAAGGTCACACTGGAATTCAAACCTGCATGTGTCTGGTGTTAAGCCCACCTCTTTCCATTATGATAAACAGCTTCCTAACTTTCTGGAGGAATTAGATGTGACTTCCTACTTTGCCACACAGAAATTTCTTCTGTTCTATCTTCATTGAAGCTGTGATATCAAATGGTCAGTTTTTTGCGTGAAGGATTTTCCAAAGTTAGTTTCTGTAACAATGAGATTTTGTGTAGGATTTTTTTCCATTGATTTTTAGAGAGAGTGGAAGGGAGAGGGAGAGAGAGATAGAAACATCAATATGAGAGAGAGACATCAGTTGGTTGCTTCCTGCACATACCCTGACCAGGGCCGGGGATTGAACCTGAAACCCTTGGGTGCATGGGCCGATGCTCTAACTACCAAACCCATACCTGCCAGGGCTCTATATTTAACTTTTTGAGGAACCACCTTACTGTTTTCCGATCCCACTGATACTGGACACTAAATGGGTCCAAGGCCACCTGTCACTACTTGAGCCAAATTAAGCAGAGACAGGATTAAATCATATATGAGCATTTATTCCAATAATGCCAGCAGTATGGAGAGAACAGCAGGTCATCCTGAAAATTCTGCTTTAACAACTCCTACAAGCCAGCCGATTATATAGGGATAAAGAAGAAAGGCTATGTATGTGCAAGAGGCAAGGGGGTGGGCAGGCAGGATAAGGGCTGTAGGATCCATGGTTTGTGTGTCTCCTTCCAGGATCGTGAAGTCCAATAACAAGGTAGTTAATGTTAAAAACAGCTTGGTCTGCCCAGCTGGTGTGGCTCAGTGGATTGAGCATCGTCCCATGGACTGAAAGTGAGGGCACATGCCTGGGTTGTGGGCTAAATCCCCAGTAAGGGGGCATGCAGTAGGCAGCTAATTGATGTTTCTTTTTCACATTGATGTTTCTGTCTCTTTCTCCCTTCCTCTCTTTCTCTAAAAATATCAATTAAGGAAAAAAAAAAAGCTTGGCCCATTCCTGTGACTGGAGAATAGTCAGCATTCCCGAGGCAAACTCCCGCAGGGTGTCAGTGTCCAGGCACAGCAACCAGTTCAAGTGTGTCCTGTCCTTGTTCTGTTCTCAAGATGTCTTGTCTTTTCTGAGTAATGGACCCATCTGGGCTCCAAGGCATCTTATCGTTTTACAGCCCTGTTGTTTTTTTTTAATCCACACCCGAGCACATTTTCCATTTTTTGTTCAGGAAGGGTGGGAGGGAGAGAGAGGAAGAGAGAGAGAGAAACATTGACATGAAAGGGACACATTGAGTGGCTGCCACCCGCACGACCAGCCAGGGCTGGGGACAAACCGCAACAGAGGTACACGCCCCTAGTGGGAACCAAACCTGGGTCTCTCTGGACTGCAGATCAACGCTCTAACCGCTGAGCCAAACTGGCCAGGGCCTGTTTTTTTTTTTTTTTTTTTTTAATTTTTAAAAATCTTAATTGTTGAATGTATTACAGATGTTCCTCTTTTTCCCCCCATTGACCCCCTCCTCTCCACTCCCACCTTTTCCCACCTGCGCATCCCACACTATTGTCTGCGGGAAACTTATGCATGTAAGTTCTTTGGTTTATTTCTTCCCATCCCCCAATTCCCTTCCCTTTGAGGTTTGTCAGTCTAGCAACCAATTGTACTTAATCCCTTCACCCTTTTC